GAGAATAATACAGTTTTTCCTTTGAAATAAATTTTATGGCATGAGTACTTGCCAAAAATTAATATAGCAGTGCTAGGGATACAGCTTCATGGTAGCATACTTGCCCAACTCAAAGCCTTGAGTTAGGATCCTGAGGTCAAAAACGCCCTTTTCAAAGCACTGGGATGGGGTGGGTGAGAAGCAATAGGCAACAAACTAATCACAAATGGGCTTCTCATTGTAAAATCAAGCCGGGCCTGGTGCCACGTGCCTGCAATTCCAGCAAAAGGATTCAAAGATAACCCAGACTGATCACAGCAAGACCCTGCCTTTGACGTGAGCACTTGCTGCCCTTTCCAGACAACCCAGGTTTAATTCCCAACACCCACATGGCAGCTCACAATTACCTGTAACTCCAGATCCAATGGCCTCTTCTAGTCTCCTTTGGGCACCAAGCATGCAAGCAAAACACCACACACACAAAATCAAATTAAATTAAAATTTTAAAATAAATAAAAATTTCACCAGATGGGGCTGGTTTACATCTTTAATCCCAGCACTCAGGAGGCAGAGGCAGGAGGAAATTTGTGAATTAGAGACTAGCCTATTCCACAGATTGAGTTCCAGGACAGCTAGGGCTAAATAATGAAACCTCGACTCAAAAAATAAAATGTAATGTTTATTAGAACAGAGAAAAATTTAAGCAAATTAAGTAATTCCCAGTGACAATCATATCAGTACCATTTTCTTTAAACTGTATATTCATTGCAGAAATTTAATGCTATGAAGTATTTTAAATTCAGTAACTACACTGAACATTTGAAGTGATCGCTCATTTTCCAGCCAACCCAAATTTTGTTTTAAGAATCCATCATCGAACTGCTCCATGGATAGTATGGTACATAAACACCACACTAGATGTCAGAAATGTGGCTTTTGTTTTTGCCCAATAGCAGCAATTTAAGCAGATCACCTCATTCTCGGTTATTCATTCTTTCAAGATATTCAAATATAAAAAGCCTGGATCTATATATGGATGCTCGTTCTAGAATTCTACGAATTGTAAGCAATTTATTTTAACCAATTTATTTTTGAGACCACAACTAAACGAAAGTTAACAGCAGTATGAAATTAAACTGAAGAACTTTACAGACAACACAGTGTTTTTGTTATATCTCTGACTTTCAAATTCTAGTGGGTGGAGGGGACAGGTTGTATCTGAAGACTATCCAAGTAACTTTGTGACCACAGAAACTCCTGGGGTAACAAAAATGGCTAAAGGATAGAATAAATGTTCAAGGAAAAAAAAAAAAAAAAAACAAGATCACAAAAATACCAAAATAAAACACAGATGATCCAAACAGTTACTGCTACACTGCAGTGGTTTTTCATAGTTTTTCAACATTCCTAAAGGACGCCTGATAGAGAAAGAACTATCCTCTTAACCATCGAAATTACTTTTTGTATCCTCAAAGGCAAGAACAAAATATCAATTGCACTGACAATTTAGTTACCTGTGCCTATAGTTCATTTAAACAAAATGTCATTTAAATGAAGTATGTATCAGCTACTCCTCTTTTTCCTCCTCTTCCTTCTTCTTTGAGACAGTCTCTCCTTTTCTGGCCTAGAACTCACTATGTAGACCAATCTGGCCTCAAGCTCAGAGATCTGCAGTTAGTGTTAAGATTGCCATGCCAAACAATATATTTTTTCAAATTCATGGAAGAGAATCATAGCTATATAAATATATTAGTAACAGGTATATTCTGATGTTGTAATGTGGATACATTTTTTTCTAACTACACCATGAGAGATTTGCAGATAAACCATTACTATCTCACAGAAACACAATCAATCCTATTTAAAGTAATTGTATAACCTTTTTGTTTTTTGAAACAGGGTCATGAATATTCCAGGCTGGTCTCACACTCAATATATAGCTGTAGACAACCTTGAACTTCTAATCTTCCTGCCTCCAACTCCTGAGCAGACATGTGTCTGCTTCTATGTCATGCTGGGGAAATCAAACCTGGGGCTACAGGCATGTTAGCTGAGCTCTCTACCAAATGGGCTACAGCCCCAGTCCAATTTCATAACTATTAACTCAGTCTAGACTCACAACAACAAAACCTGTAAGGTTAGGGGTTTTTCTAATATTATAGATGAGGAAACTGTAGCACAGAAAGGTTGAACATGTTCTAAATGCCAGTTAATGACAGAGGGAATCATGATTCCTAGTATTACAACTTCTCAGGAGTATTATAACATATGGCAAGTCTTTTCTAAAAGATAAATGTTTTGGTGTGGCGAGTAATCACTTTCTAGATATGTATAAACACAAACACATATACATACACACTTTGATTTTCACTAACAGGTGCACTTAAGACAAAACAACTGGAAGCTATAAATATCAAAATAAACTAAACGGCTACAGGATTTTAATAGAATAAGAAAGTAAGATTTCACTCTAGTAAGTTAGCTTTATTCCTTCTGTAATTCTTACACATATCTAGATAAGTCAGAGACTGAGCCCAAGCAAATACGAACTGGGTTATCCAATAAATTTGAGAGAATTTATTAAAACATTTCCTCAAAATATTAAAAAATTAAACAGTACTCCGTCCGGGTATGGTGGTGGTGTAAGCATGCAATTCATGCACCAGTTACAAGGGGAGTTTCAGGTCAGCAAGTCCTACAGACTTAAACGGTCTCAAAACAAACTAAATTAATTAATTTAAAACAGCAGCTCTCCATTTATCCACAAGGTATTCCACGTGACTCAGAATCGTCAGCAGCTATTCATCAAGATACTCTTGAACAAATGAACAACTATTGAACAACTATGTATGTGTGGGCATTTTTAAATCCCAGGCCTGTTGCTCTCTGCATACAGCCACTTTCAGCCTCCCATCATTCTCTCACCAGAGTGCACACAAGGAATGTAAGTTTCAAATATAATAGGATACAATCAGAGTAGCAAATCTGATACAGGCGAATATACTAATCCCAAAGATTAAAACTACCCATAACGCTACTCTCCAACGTAACTCTAGTGTACAGGCGCTGTGGCACACAACCTGGCAAACACTTCTCATAAATACCATCCACTCCTTTTCATACATGACTATTCCTGATCCACACCAATACTAAGAACGCGGTGTCCTTTCCGTTAAGGTTGCTTTCTCAATTAGTTTCTCAAATCCCGGTCGTCGTTGTCTCCCCAAAGAAGGGGTGCACTCTCCCACTTGGCACAAGAAAACACCAATAACAAGCGGCAGGAGGCAGAGGGTGCTGCTCTTTGCATCTGCACCACTACCAGCCCTTCGCCATTATACCTCAAGTGGGCCAGTTAGGAAGGTGAACTAGTTTGTTCTTCACACACTTGTCCATCGCTGTCACCCTCCTTAACCCCTTCCACACTCGCCAGACAGCCACCAACTCTCTCCCTCAACAGTGGGCCTAGGCGGGTCACCTGCGGCCGGCCCCACCCGGGGCCCTCCATCCTCACACCCCCTCCTCCAGCCCTGCAGGCACCGCACGCCCCCTCCCCAATGGGCAGACATCTCAGGCCGGCCTCCGCTCGCCTAAGGCCATTCTCCCCATAAACTCTAGAAACCTCCACTCGCCTAGCCTGAACTCCCTGCCGCACCCGACTCGCCCCTGGGTGGCGGAGAGGAAGCGACCGGCGGTTCGCATGGGTCCCAGCTCCGCGCACTTCGCGACGCCCCCGGCCCGCCCGAGAAGCCGCCTCCGGCACTGGAGCCCTAGCAGCCCTCGGAAGCTCCCGGGCGAGCAGGGCCCCGAGGCCGGGGCTGCAGGCGCCGGGCCTACTCACCCGGAGCTGGCGGAGCGTGGGAGCCTGCGCGCCCCCACGGCCGGACGAGCGGGGCGCGGCCCCGGCGCGCGGCCCTCCGCCCGGCCCTCGCTCGGCGCGGCGAGCTGGGCGCTCACTCCGGCCGCCGCCGCAGCTTCGCCACCTTAGCCGCCATCTTGCCTCAACCCCTCTCCCTCCCCCCCTCAGGCCCGGCAGCCGCGCTAAGGCGGCTCCGACACGGGCTCCTCCTCCTTCCGGAGGGTTGGGGAGACGACACCCTCCCCGGGCGGAGCGCCGCTCTCACCTCGGCCTCGCTTCCTGGGTCGTGGGTGCCGCGCCGGTTCCTTTCAAGCTGTCCCTCACACTCCTACCGGCTCCGGCAGCACTGCCTCGGGTCCGGCCGGCCGCGGCAGCCATCGCGCACCCGGCCAGGAGCGCCACCGCGAGCCTGCCACTCCCGCGCGCCCGGGGCCTTCCCCCTCAGGCGTGGGAAAGGACAAGGCGCCTGGCGCGAGGCAAACCTTGCGACCCTTTCGCGCCGCCAAAGCGGCTGTGCGCTCCTCGCCGGAGACAGAAAGCCGAGCCCACGTGGCTGGGATGCACGTTAATTTCACACCAGGTCTCCCCCCCGGAATGGCGGGTAAGGCCTTCTCCGCCGCGCCGCTCCTTAATCTCTACCCCTTAAGAGAATTTAAGCACCTCCTGACCGTGCTGTCAGCCGGACCCTTCTGCTGAAATGACGTTTGCTCATAGCCGCTTACTTTTCCCCTACCAAAGTCGCCCACTGAGAAAAAAAAAAAAAAAAACAACAAAGTGTGACCCGCTTCGGAAAACTTTCATCCGGATAACGGGTTGTTTACACGAAGTCTTGGGTCATAAGAAGTGGGTTTAAAAAACGAGCTGCAGCGAGAGAAGGGAACTCTCCCTACCAAATGTTTAAGTTTATTTGGAAAGGCTTCCGTTTTAGCCGGCGTGCTGTGACACGCCTGACCTGCCAGCGTAGGGGGCAGGAGAGGAATGAGGATCGTTGCAAATTCGAGCCCATCAAAGTCTACAAAGTGAGTTCAGAGGCACCCAAGGGTACACACAGTGAAACACTATCTCAAAACAATTGCACAACGCTTCCTCCTTTTAAGCACACTGGACGGAAGTATACTAGACCTCAAGTTCGGGTTAGCCCTGAAACGGTAGCAGGGATAGGATTTTGCCATGGCTATATACGAGATGAGACGGCGCAGTGTGGGTGGAAGTTTCCACGGTAGGACCACGGATCTCGCCGTTGTCCAGCCACAGAGCACTTAGACACGGAACGCAGTTTCAGCGGGTTCAGTTTTCCCGCAGGAGCCCGTGTCCACCCCCCGCCTTCCTTACTGCGCAGGCGCGGTGCCACTTACCCGGCATGGAAGTGGTGGGTCTCTTGTGTCTGGTGGTGGCTGCCCTGACATGGGGCTTCCTCCGGGTTCGGGACTCGGCGGAACGAATGAAGTCTCCGGAGCAGGCAGGCCTGCTGGGAGCCGGAAGCCGGGCCCTTCTGGTGATCGCGCACCCGGACGATGAAGCCATGTTCTTTGCTCCCACGGTGCTAGGCTTGGCCCGCCTGGAGCAGCGGGTGTTCTTGCTCTGCTTCTCGGCAGGTAGGAGGCCGTAGAAGGGACGCTGGGAGCCGGGTTAGGGAACTAACCGATCTCAATTATTTCCTCTAGAAAGGTCTTCTGTTAGGCAGCTAAGTGAGTATACCGAAGGTCCTTTCTCTGTGCTCGTCACAGGCACAGAAACAGCCGGCTTCCCAGATAGGTTGTGGAACCCCGAGCGAATTCCACTCATCTCCAGCTAAATTGAGGAGCAGAAAAGTGGTTGCTCGTCGTTGGTTCCATTCGGTACCTGCATGTTCCTTTGGGAACTGCGACTGAGTGTTTTTGTTTTTTTAAGACAATCTCATTGCAGCCTAGCTTCCCCAGTGCTGGGATTACAGATGTGAGCCGATGGATGTGCCTGACCTTTTATCCTGAGGAACCATCTATTTACAGAAGGATCAAATATAATCGTGCACCAAACAATCTAAACTATGCTGTCTGCCCAACCCACCAGGTTTCTTTCCTAGCGATAGCAAAAGACATTCCTGGTGCTTTGAAATTCATTGTGCTCTACAAAGATGTGTATGTCAGATTGGAGGAGTTACTTCAGAATAGATAGAAACTATTTAATTTTAGAGTTCATCTCCACCCAGCTTTCATTAAGAGAACTCTTCAAAAATAAGACTTGCACTATGATACAAAACAAAAAAAAATGACACCTATATATGTCGATGACTGCACAACTTAAACTGTGTACATACAGTGACTGAATTTTATGATATATTAAATTATACCTCAATAAAGTTGATTTTCAAAATTGCCCATGACCTCTTTTCCCAATGTGGTTGTGTGTCATTCCGGTTCTTCATTTTTAGATAACAGACTTTTCACAGAAATCACGTTTTACACATTGTTTCCCCTACCACCACTTTTTATTTACTTAGTATATATTTATGCTAGACTTTATTCTAAATCGCGCTCATCAGAATTGATTTATGAGATTGGCTAAATTTGGGAGAGTTATTGTGTTTTAAATTGTGGTAATGCAGATTAATGGAGGTGAGGGCTCCAAGGACTGGAACTTGCTGGAACAGGCTGTCCTCAAATTCACAGAGATGAACCTGCCTTTGCCTCCCAAGTGATGGATTTAAAGGCACGGGCCACCACTGCCCAGCCCAAAATCTTTTTCTAATGAAAGATAAAAAGTATTCACTTAGTAGTCTGTACTTCTATTGATGCCTTTAATTATGTCCTCTGAATCCAACTTGCCATTTTAAATTGGTCACTGTTGTACAAACCAAGAAAGTAGTGATGTTTAATATACTATAGTGGAAATTGTAGCAATATAATGGAGAAAACACAGTAGGCAGGAAGTCAAGAAGAACATTAATTCTCTTTGCAGAAGGTTTCCTTAAAGAAGGCTCCAAGTAGGGTTTCGTTTGATCTGGGCTTCAAAAAAGAAGGCTATATAGGGAGCAGAGCTGAGCCTTGTAGGCCATAGTAAATAATTAGGTTAAGTCTTGCATTTGTGCCAATAGCTTATCCCAACTACATCCTCAGTTCAAGGAGAAGGGAGAAGCAAGTTTTGTTTGGCAGTGGTGACTCAGTTAATTGTCCTCAGCCATCTTATAAGACAACACTATTATTTCTATTTTACAAATAGACATTGAATCACCAAGACTTTACCATGAAAGAGCTGAGGCCTGGGCCCTGCTGCTCAAAATCATTACACCCAGGCTGTCCATTACTTTGTGTGTTGTGTACCCTGTCAGATTTCAAGAAACATTATTTCATCAACTTTTTGTGGGGTTTCTTTTTGGTTGGTTGGTGGGTTGGGTTGGGTTGATTTGGTTGGGTTGGTTTTTGGTTCTTCAAGGCAGGGTTTCTCTGTGGCTTTGGAGCCTGTCCTGGAACTAGCTCTGTAGACCAAGCTGGCCTTGAGCTCACAAAGATCTGCCTGCATGTGCCACCACCACCCAGCTCATCAAGCTACTTTTTCAGTCTATTAAGTATTATTTGTGAAGGGAGGAACCTGCAGGCCATGGCCCCACAGATGGTCAGCAGAAGACAACCTGCAGGGGTCAGTTCCCTCCTTCCACTCCATGTGGGTCCCTGGAATTGAACTCAGGTCATCAGGCTTGACTGCAAATGCCTTTACCCACTATCTAGCCCCGAGCCACTATTTATGAGATTTTTTAAAACAGAGGTGCTGGAGAGAAGGCTCAGCAGTTAAGAGGGCTACTCTTGTGGAGGACCTGAGTTTGGTCCTCAGCACCAACTTCAGGAGGCTTTTAACAGCTTATTTCTTTAGATCTCAAAGAGTCAACACCCTCCTCTGGCCTCTACATGTACCTGGACTCACATGTACATACCACCCCATAGCACACATAAAACATAATTACAACTAAAATTAAACCTGAGTGTGGTAGTGCACACCTTTAATTCCAGCACTTGGGAAGCAGAGACAGGCATTTGAGTTCAAGGCCACCCTGGTCTACAAAGTGAATTCTAAGACAGCCAGGGCTACACTCTGTCTCAAAACAAAACAAAAAACAAAACAAAACAAAACTTAATAAAAAGTGTGGTAGCACATTTTTAACATTTTTAATGCCAGCACACGGGAAGCACAGCAGGTGAATTTGTGAGTTCAAAGCCAGCCTAGTTTACATAGAGGTTTCCAGGACTACAGAGAAAGACCCTGTCTTTAAAAAAAAAAAAAGTAAATAAAATAATAATAATAATCTGTCTGCTTTAGACAGTTCATTCTGATATCTACATGGAAATGGTTTGATAGAAAAGACTGGAATCATGAAAGCCAACATTTCTCCTCTAGCTCATATGAGGTTTTATATTAGTTTGTATTCTCTCTCTCTCTCTCTCTCTCTCTCTCTCTGTGTGTGTGTGTGTGTGTGTGTGTGTGTGTGTACAGATTTTCCAGGCTCATGAGATTCCCTCTTTCTTTTTTTCTTTTTTTTTTGGGGGGGTTGTTTGGTTTTTGGTTTTTTTTCTCGAGACAGGGTTTCTCTGTGTAACAGTGCTGGCTGTCCTGGAACTTGCTCTGTAGACCAGGCTGGCCTCAAACTCACAGAAATCCACTTCCCTCTGCCTCCTGAGTGCTAGAAGTAAAGGCAAGCACCTCTACCCAGTTAAAAAGAGTTTTATTTGTACAGTTGTTTTATCTGTGCATATGTCTGTGTACCACTGTGTGTGTGGTGCCCATGGAGGCCAGAAGAGGGCATCAGATCTCCCTGGAGGTGGAATTACAGATGATTTGAGCCTCCACCTGAGTTCTGGGAACTGAACCCAGATCCTATGGAAGAGCAGTAAGTGCTTTTAATGGCTGAGCCATCCATCTCTTCAGCCCTGACATGTCTGTTTTAATTACTGTAACTTGTAATAATATGTTTATGTGTGGTGGGGCATGCTTACACCATGCCATGTGTAAAGGTCAGAGGACAACCTTGAGAAGGATTTTCCCCTTCCACTTTTACTTGGATTCCAGGGTTCAAACAGGTCATCAGGCTCATTGACTTACTGCTACACCATCTCACCAGCCAAATGACTGAAACTTTATAGCCCTGTTACCCAATATGTTAGAACCTCTGATTGCTGCTCAGGGTGTACTTGCTTGTTTTGACCTTGTTTTCCTCTTAAATAAATATGTTTTAAGAATTAGGTTGGTTATATTCAAGAAAAAACTTTATTGGCACTTTTCCCCGTTGAAATTTCACTGACTTAGTGTCAGTAGAGGACAAATTTACAACATAAAGTCTTTCTGGCTATCATTTTATGATGTCTCATTTATATTGGCCTTCTTTCATATCTGTTAAGAGTCTTGTTTGGTTCTGGTTTCTGTGCTGGGCTTGAGCCCAGAGCGTTGAGCATGCTAAGCATGTATTCTATCACTGACCTACACCCTGGTCTTTTAGTATTGCAATGTTATCCAGGCCAGCCTCAAACTTGTGGTTTCTCTGCTTGGCCTCCCAGAGTAGCAGGCACATACCATATGTGGCTGTTAAGAGTATTACATTTAGGTCTTCCATACATATTGAGATGGTGTTCATACAATTCTGTCCTTCAGTCTGTTTCTCCTGTCTAAAGTTTCCTATTGCAAATGTCACAGTATCAGTTGTACTTGATATCTTCATTTATTACTTTATTCAATTACTTAGACTTCCTAATAACTCCCAATTTCAGTAGTTGTAGGTATGATTCTGTTCTTTGTTCTTACAACTTATTCTGGGTTTCTACAAGGGTGCTTTGTGATTTATTTTTATATGCTTGTGCACATGTATCTTAAAACCATATTTGTGGTAACACATAAATGGTTCACTTTTTTTTGTTTTTGGATTTTCAAAACAGTTTCTCTCAGTAACAGCTCTGCCTGTCCTGGAACATACTCTGTAATCCAGGCTGACCTCAAACTCACAAAGATCAACCTGCTTCTGCCTCCCGAGTACTGGGATCAAAGGTGTGCTCCACCACCACCCTGCTTGGTTCACTTTTTCTAATATTTATTTTGTATGTGTGGGTGGGTGGTATATGTAGTATATGTACACATGTATGTGCTGATATGCACTTGCAGAGGCCAAAGGAGGATATTGAGTATCCTGTTTTATAACTCTGCCTCCTTCCTCTTGAGACAGGGTCTCTCACTGAACCTGGAGGTAGGCTGACAGCCACCAAGTCTCAGCAAACCCTTGTCTCCACCCCTCCAGAGCACTAGGGTTGTAGGCATAGTGGACATGTGGATTTCATACATGGGTGTTAGGGATTCAAACCCATGTCCTTGTGCTTGAGCAGCAAGCACTCTTATCCACTGAGCCATCTCCGCAGCCCCTGGTGATCTAAGTCATTGCCTGCCTCAGATCACTCCAAATTTTTTTAGCTTGATTTTTTTTTTCAGGCCAGAGAAGTAGTATAAGTTGAGGATGCAACCCCAAGTGTCTTCACTGTACAGTATCTCTTGTCCATGGTAATGAGAGCCTCCAAACTGGGCATTGCAATCACCTTAAGATTTTCCTCTACTTGCATATCTGGTTGCTAGGAACTTAGCTTAA